TACTACCAGACAGTGGTACTACCAGACAGTGGTACTACAAGACAGTGGTACTACCAGACAGTAGTGCTACCAGACAGTGGTGCTACCAGACAGAGGTACTACCAGACAGTGGTACTACCAGACAGTGGTGCTACCGGACAGTGGTGCTACCAGACAGAGGTACTACCAGACAGTGGTACTACCAGAAAGTGGTGCTACCAGACAGTGATGCTACCAGACAGTGGTGCTACCAGACAGTGGTACTACCAGACAGTGGTGCTACCAGACAGTGGTACTACCAGACAGTAGTACTACCAGACAGTGGTGCTACCAGACAGTGGTGCTACCAGACAGTGGTACTACCAGACAGTGGTACTACCAGACAGTGGTATTACCAGACAGTGCCAGAGAGTCATTGCTGGTGATTGAGTAATGCAGCAGAAGTGTCCAGTTTAGACTGATAAGGCTGTGATATGATATGCAAGCTACTGATGGTATTGATTACATCAAGTAAGTTATAGTTAGTAGTTTCTAGTTATGTTCAACACTCCAAGTTGATGCAGTAATATTGAGCCAACGATAAAACTTTTATAGTGGTATTCTTATGTCGCCATCATTAACATACATTTTTTTTATTAAACCTTCACTATACAATTTATAGTGAAACAATTCTCCATTAAGTAAATACATTTTTTGATTAGGTTACGTTTGGAAATGTTATGTGTAAAATATTAATGTGACATTACATTTCTTGGATATACAAAGTTCACATTTATTTTAGACTGACACTAAACCGTCATAATATACAAATCCAACATTTTCTTGAAGTTTTATCTGGCTTTTAGGATGCTTGTAATAAGAATACCTCTCAATGATAATTATACAGATAATTATAATTTTTTTGTCCCGTAAGTAAACAGCCAAAGTTCGGAAAATGGTTCAAGATTCAGAAAATCTGAAATTTTTTTCCCAAATAACGCTTTGTTAACCAGATATCTGCCTTTTTTAATAATCATTCTTATTTTAGATTTTTTCTAACCGATGTTTACAAAATTTGGTATTTATTTTATTGTAGAAGTAACCTATAATGGAAAAAATTAAGTTTATTCAATTTGAAATTTAAATGACAGTCCTTTTGATTCGTGTAACTTAAATTAAAGTACGAACAAAATGGGAAATTTTATGAAAAAAATGTCATGAATATGTTACCTTACCTTACCTCCTCGGCCACTCAAACCTACGAAGGTTTTTGGCCTCGCCAACAAGTTGTCTCCACTGCTGCCGGTCTGCCGCCATGAATATGTTATGTTGTAAAAATGTTATGGAATACTAGCAACCTGTGTTACTTCGTGACTTCAAAATCCGTGATATATATTTGAATTTGTTTACAGTTTTCTATTGCTTTGAGCTAAGTTTAAAATTATCTATTTTTACGAGATAATCATTAACTTTAGAAAACACAACATCTAACTTAAGTAATTTTCTTCTTTACATTTTAAACAAAAAACATTACTGTACAATATTTTACTTGAATTTTCTAAAACATACTATTAACACACAAAATCCTATCAAAAGACAAAATCTAAAGTAGGCTAATTAATTTTCTTATTTACATTTTATACAAAATAGCATTACAATATTTTACTACTTGAATTCAATAAAACATCACCAACTGTAACGATAGTCCAATTTTCTTATGGACGTAAACAAAATATTGTACCATGGACATTTGTTTTATAAAAAAATTTAAACTTGAAAAAGTTCAGATGATTGACAAGAGAATTCAGCACAAACTCAGACATTTTAAAAGGAAGAAGTGCTTTTGCGGGATATCATCCAAATCCAAAAAAAAGGCACATCTAGAGGATACGAGCTTTAAATTGATAGGTACCCAATATGCCAATAAAAATAAATTTTTAGTGGTCAATTTGCTGCACACAAAAATCCAATAAATTCTTTTAATAATATAGATGACTGTTTTAGTTTCGAACGAGACGCAGCCTGACGCCTCATATTCTTTAGCTTAGGCATATTCAACCTCATTTTACTGGCGTAGTGTAACTGCCCCGACATTTTGGGTGCTTTTGAAACATGAAACTGTCCCGCTCATTAAAGTGGATTAGGGAAGGGCCGCCTCGCAAGACTTTAAATGCTGAAATTGCCCCCCGAACACCCGGCCAGGTAGTCGCTACGGGACTGGGGAAAAGGGAATTATTTTGTCCCCGTGTCCTGTCAGTGACAGCAGTCTTCTAAAACTGCCGTCGACTGTTTTTTCTAAGTCACAATTGTTTCTGTACCGATACCTAACCTAACCTTAAATCAGCTAGTAATTCCCGATATTGGTGGTAGTTATAATAAGACTGTAGTCACTGACAGAACGCAGGGACAACAATAATTCCCTTTTTCCCCATACCCGTAGCGGCTACCTGGCCGGGCGCTCGGGGCAATTTCAGCATTTCTTGTATGGCGAGGTGACCAGGGGATAGCCCAACTCCGCGCAGTGGTCAAATTTAAGCCGAGGAAAAGTTTTATGGCCCCCGAAGGGTTCAGTCCAACTCCGCGCGTTGGCCACATCTAATCTCTACCCCTAGTGCTTTCGTATGAGATATGATGTGTTTAATATAAAATATTCTATATATGTTACACTTTTATTTGCTCATAGGTACTTTATTCATGTGACAGGTTAGGTTTGGTTAGGTGTTAGGTTTGGTTAGGTAAGGTTAGGTTAGGTTAATAATAGGTAAATTCTAATGAAACATAAGTATTCTATTTTGTACTAATTAACTTTAAGCTATAAGTTACTTTTGTTTCGTACAGTTCTAAATTATGTACATATATAACAATTTCAAACTTCAAATACAAACTCACAGCCGTCAGGTCTGTGAGAGCCAAAATTGACCACCGCACGGAGTTGGACAGTCGGTTTTTACATATTTCTGATCACCGTGCGGAGTTGGGATCATCGATGTATATAACCTATACATCGATGGTTGGGATAAGCCCGGCGACCCTTCTTGGTGCTCTGTAATGAGCGGGGCAGTTTCATCGTCCCCCATTTTACAACTAAAATTTGTGAAATTTCAGCTATATTTTATTCAATATTTTTTATCTTGGTGTTGTTTGATAAAGGTTTTAAATGCTATATTGTGTTCTTGGCATTTGTTCATAACATCAGCCATATATGGTCATTTAAATTTAAAAAGTTATAACTAACACAATTTTAAAATTTTAAATTGGGCCAAGGTAACTTTTTTTTAACAAGGGTCTCTCCTACCTCAACAGTCATAATGATCGTTTGGGACAGTCCAAAGATAAAAATAACCTGCCTTTATTTTTAGTCTAGCTTTTATGTAAACAAGCTATGCTATAATAGACAAAACATTGATTCGATGCAAATTTAACAGAATTTAATAAATTTTACTATTGTGTCAGACAAAAGGGCTGTGTGTTTTTGGCTTAATAGTCAAAAATAATAATTTAATTCTAATTAAGTTCAATGTGAATTTCTTTAAGGGGCAGCATTGGGTAGAGTCCCTTGCATCGACAATTGTGACAAGCCCAAGATGGTGGTGTGTGGCTTTGACAGACGGCAAGGAGCGAAACTCTTTGACAACTTGTGTGCCATGGACGCATGGAACCTCTGCTATCACACAGGTAGCTGGAACAAACAAGAAAACATATTAAGTGCAACATATAAAGTGCAACTTCGCCACATTGTCTAGTGTAAGAAGATGTTATGAATATAATCATAAAGGGTTCAAAAATGAGATGCGTGGAGTGGTTGGACCCCTGGTTTTCTGCAAGATAGGGTCTGCAAGCAAGGATGTTAGTCATGCACCTGTGCTCAGAATGCTACATTTGTATTTGAACACATGTATTGAAAACATCTGTTTTCACTTCAGTAAGCCCATCGAAAAATATTCAGGCCTACTGCTTCTCTCATAGTTACTTGTCATGCTTATTGAATTTCAAAATTAAATTAAATGTCAAAAAGATCCATATTTTAATGTTCCAGATTTTGAAGCCCAACCAACAATTGAAGACTGCATGAAAATGTTTGAAGAGCTTTTGACTCAAGAGAAAGCATGGTGCCCTTTAAAAATCCTTTAATAATACAAATGTATAAACACAATAAAGTAGACAATCTGTACTTATAATCATTGTTTTTGTGTGTTTCTTATGACTACAACAAAAAATTCTTTTTTATGTAAAATACAGAGTGATTCGTCAAAATGTTTCACACTTTCATGTTAAGCTTTCCTTTGACAGTAAAATTCAAATCATATTAAAACACTGATTGTCAAACTTAAACTAAAAACACTTTATTACCTTTCCTGTAGAAGCAAACATCAGTACTCTTTAGACTAATATAATTTAAATAGGGAATATATATATTTTAAAGTCCAATGAGACAAATTAGTGAAAATTTCATTAGTCTGCATGTTTGATGCCAATGTGGTATTTTTTGCTTCTTTTGTAACTAAACGAATCTTTCAAAATTCCTTCGGAGTTGTGTGATATTTTGAAAGATATTCGGAGCTAGGCGAATAATTCTATTTTCGAAACTAAACTAAAGCAGTACATTATGGTAATTTTCTGTTAAAGGGAACATCCATTATTATCAATTATTTTTCTCGATATATAGATATTTTATTTTTCAAACCAATATATCCATGGTGGAAGAAAAATACATAGGTGTGCTATTCCCGTCATTTGCCGTAACCCAGATTGCAAACAAAAAAATCAGCTAATGTATTGCCATATAGGTATATAGGTTAGTCTATGGTTTTATCTATTTAGCGATTCGGAGATATGAGTGATTCGGATCGGAGCTATCGTTTTCGAAGCTATGGGTCCTTCTCCAAACTCTACAATAAACTTATGTGATGCTCCCCTGCTTTCTAGATTCTAGAACAGCTGTTTTTGTGTGACAGCTGAGCTGGCCAAGAAAATAAAAGAAGATTGCAGCTACTAGAAAAACACTGATGCTGTCAAAGTCAAACGTCAATCTGCTAACTTGAAATTCGTTAAATTTTTGGCAATATAATTGAACAATAATCTGAAAATACTTTTGATTTTTGTTGGTGTCAATTAATAGTCATAATCCAATAACTCGATGTCTTAAAAAGAAAGTAGTACCTCTATTAACTATGTGACGTCGAAACTCGTGTTAGGTTAGGAAGGTTATAGCCTATTTATTTGGCATTGACAGAACACTGTTAGCACTCAGCACTGTCACATTAGTCAAGAAGAGTTAGTATAAAACCACACTTCTTGGTTGCTCTGTACCACATTCCTGTTTGCCTTGGTCGATTTAGTAATACCACTGTATTGTTGTATTTGTACACAATAGGTGCGATATCTGTCCACGTAGTACACACAATCTCAAGTGACACTTGTTTACTCTCCAACAGTTTAGCTTCACTGGTTATCTGGACTATGGACTCATGGATCGACATGATATTAAAACAATTTATCTTATCATTTTCTTCAAAGTGAATTATCTCCATATAACTAGCTGTTTCTACTAAAACCACCTCTCAGTCTACAAAGTGACAGTAGACTTTGTGCTTGTGTCAGTGAGGGGGCTGCTTCAATCTTTTCCTTAGTTATGGCATTGTCTAGGCATTGGTCATTGTTATTTCGCCAAAGAAAAAAGGTTGATTTGTTATGAAATTATCTAAATAGTTTTTATTATTATATTAAGTGTTTTAAAGCTCAGTATTATTACATTTTTTAAAGATCTATTTATTTGTATTCAGTTGGCCTATCTACTCTAACTTAGTTTGAAATTATGGCTCCTCCATTAAAAGATGTGCCTCTTGGAATCAGGACTCTACAAAAATGCTGCAATATATTTTGTCCTGGAAAATCTTTCAACCGGAATGCATGGTAAGTCGTTTTATATTTTGATATAGCCTACATAAGTGTTTGCGATTACTTGCCAAGTTAAATAGCTAGGCCTAGTCTTCAAAGTCTGTTGAAAGTTTGACTCAAACCTAATTACTTAGGCTTAATCGATTGTTACAATTGTGTAAGACTAAATTACTTACGTAATTCCCGTCACAGCTCAATAAAACTGCACAGCTCTTTTATTGAGCTGTGACGGGAATTACGTAAGTAATTTAGTATTACATTATGTCCAACAGCTCAGGGGCTACACACATGGATTTAAATTGTTACAATTGATAGGCTATAGAAGATTTGTTTTTGTTAGGCTAAATTTGATTATCGATAGAATTGACAATTAATTTGATAATACAATAGAGACTAAGATTTTTTTAAGGTAGGCCTAATAGGCCTATTTTGGTTGTGGTTTAATAAAAAGGTTTAAATCTTACCAGAGTTTCAGATCTGTAAGCATAAATATTTTCAAATAGAGGCCCATATTTTTTAAGGTTGAACCCTGAATAAGTTAAAACTCACAATGCAAAATGTATTTTTTTCTTTTGTTAGGGCCTAAGTTATAAGTTAATTTATACCGTATTTCTAAGTTAGCTTAGGTAAGCTAGGCCTAACTTCTTAAAGTAACTTTTTATAGCCTACCCAAACTTGTTTTTCTATCACAATCATAAAGCTAACTTAGTGTACTGTAAGCCTATACATTTTCTACACACTAAGTTATTGGGAATAGGTAATTGTGATTGCTTAAACACGCTGACATATTTTTATAGGTATAGAAGTTCTGTCGTAGTCTTAACCTTCCTCACGTACATGTGCTACCATATGAACCGCAAGCCTATCAGTGTGGTCAAGAATGTGCTCCATCGTAACTGTTCGGAAGTGAATCCCAAGCCAATTAACACTACTAACCCAGACTGGTGTGATTGGGCTCCTTTTGGTAAGTAGTTTACAACCCAAGATTACTTAAACCCTGTGTAGAAATTAGTAAGTATTTAACTAGCTAGCTGACTCTATAGTAGGCTATTGGCTGATCTTACTTCTCATACAAAACTGAGATTTAGTCTAGGTACCAAAGTATTACTTTCAGTCCACAAATCCTCCTAACCAAAGATAAGTTATATTGCATCAGTGACAGTGAGTGTAGGTCCCTTAGTTGCCATTAGCTGTTTGGGCTATTAATTAACAGCTGTGTCTAAGGAATGTCGGCCTTAGCCACTAACAAGACTACAAGATCGCGCCACTCATCCTACACTCATCTCCATTCATACTTGGCTTAAAATACCTACATAGTATGGTCGCCATTTCATAAGAAAGTATAAAGTGTGAGGGTGTTTGTATGCACTGATCATGTATTGATTGGTTTTGGTTTGTTTCCATTACACCTAACCTTACAAATTAGGCCTACCGGTACGTCTACTGCGTAAGATTGGATCTGACAACAATTATAGCCAACATAGCACATTTCTAGAACTTCTAGTTTTAACTTTATGGTAAAAATTTCTTTTTTATATTAAGTTTTAGCCTAGTGAGTTTTCAAACTCCAGTTGAAAAAGAATCCGTGTTAAACTAAAGTAACTTAGGCCCTAATCTGTATGAAACCAATAAGTTTTAAAACAAAAATTGAAACATTATGTTACGTATATGGGTTAATTAAAATGTCTATTTAACCCGATTTGGAGGCTTATAAGTAGAGTCTACTGTACAGGTATATCATTGTCTTTTTAAGTTGTATGGAAGAAATTCAAACAAAAATTCTTATATAAAGCCCAAAGTACCCATGAACTTTTGAGAAAACTAACTTACAAGTCACACCCCCATAAACCATATAATTAAAATGATCGTCATGACGAGAAACCTTGCACCAAACTATCCATTATTTCATAAATATCACCCTTTAAGGTCCTAATTGCTTTCTAAGGCCTCGTTCACACGTATCGACTTTTCGCCGTGCGCGTGCATGGCTCGGCGCCGTGCATTCCTGAACCACGCCGTGGACCACACGACTCGCGCCGTGAACAACACGACTTGGGCCGTGCGGGTCTCATTTAGTTGCGTGTAAATTTGTTGAGGGTGACCACGATGCGGCGAGCGGCACCGCTCAGCGCCGGTCATGGTTCCAAGTCAAAAACGATTTTCGCGAAAACGCTGCTCGCCACTCAGGTGAGTCATGCTTCATTTAGGCCTAAAATGACAGGGAAACAGCAGCAAACATGCGATACGGGTCGATACGTGAGGTGCAGTCCAGGGAATTTTTGTGGAATGACTATCAGCACGGAAGTTTTAAAACTCTTCAGTCACCATAAAAGTATGGAACAAAGTTAGGGTTAAGGTTTTTCTAAAAACTAAGTTTTTTTTTTAAGACAAACAACTGTCAGATAGCAACAATAGTTGCAATACGTCTTGCAGGTAAGCATAGTTTACCATTTTCGACTAAACTGACTTATAAAACTGGGTAAATTTCATGAGTGTTATAAAAGTGCCGTTTGTATCGTAGCCACCACCGCCGCTTACGTGCCGCTCAGGTTACCGCTTGACGCTCGCCGCTCGTATCGTACCCGAGGCCTTACTCTCAGGTTTTGTGCTAAAAGGTGTATTTTATGTATCATACAAATTATCTAAGCTGACTTCATTTCCAAATAAATCTGGTTAATCTTTACAAACGAGCTTTGTGGTCCATATTAAGGCATGACTTCACTGTTTAAAAACTAATGTTTTATAGCAAACAATACTATGAATTTGTGAACTGTACACATAAGTTATTTTTACAATTTTTTTATAAAAGAGGAAGATTTCGCCTTTTTTGATGGATGTACTACACCTCTCGAATCCAGGAAGACTTCAAACAATGTCTGTGCATGCGCTAGACCGAGTCGGGATGGCCCCGCATCGACCTGTGTGAACGCATCCATAAGAGACCATGGTGTTCAAGAGGTCGAGTACGGCGCGACACCGCGTCGTCGCTTGAAGAAGGTCGTGATCTCCACGGTCGCCGTGGACGGCGTGGCGCTGTGGTCGATACGTGTGAATAGTTGCATTTACATCAATGCTATTGAATAAACACGACGTCGTGTCGTACACGGCGCACGGCAGAGAGTCGATACGTGTGAACGAGGCTTAAAGGAAACTTTCCATATGCCTAATGTTAAAAATACCTCAGCTGTACATATTTGTTTGTTATTCTTTTAATTTATTACCTTATTAGATTATTTGTCTGTACTGTATTCTGTTTTGTTTATTTAATCTTAACTTAACCAATCAATAATTTTATTAATACTTATGAAGTCAAACGGGGTGTAACCCGTGGGTAACAGCTAGTTATAATAAGAATATTTTATGAACGAAATTAAATAGGCTGGATTATCATATGATTCAAGGATCTTGGGGTAAAAGTAGTTTTGACAAAGACAACTACCTATTGTACTGTCGATTCTTCCTATTTCCAGTGATTTTGAATAAATATCACTTATTTTTAGATGTATTCTCAAAATTCAGGAATAAAGGAAATTATAAGTAATTGTACCTAGAACTCTGGGAAAGTTCTGCCCTCCAATATCAATCACTAACTATCCATAAGTATCCCAACAGAGTTTTTCTCAGGGTGAATTTATTTTTATTGAGAAATATGCGTTATTACCTACCGGCAGTTTCATGAGTAACCGTACCTCACACAGGTACTTCTTTCTAAGAACCGATTGAACATAATTTTGGTCTCCACCTCCCTCATTCGACCCTTTAAATTTAAGGCTGAAGAGTCGCGTAGCACGGAGCCCGCTCCTGTTAAGTTCCGTGTGTTACCTAGATGATGTTGTTTTTGTTTGCCAAATATGTTTAAGTTATAAATATGTCAAGTAAGGTTTTTATTTATTTAATGTACACTTTTAATCTATACTTATTTAATACGCAAGCAAGTTTTTTGTGACAATTACTCCTCCGAAACTACTGAACTGATTGACATGTTTTTGGTGTCATTGGAAAGAGCGTTACGTGAAGTTGTGCAGGAAACTTTCTTTGGAAATAATTAGAGAGTGAGGCCCTGGGGCACTTTAAAGTTTCGTATTCCTCCATAAGATTAACATGGGAAACAAGCATTGTTATGAAACTCCAGCTGTTGTCAGAAATTAAAAGTCAGAAGAAGAAGAACATATGTTAATTGTAAACAGTACCTTTTAATTGAAAGTTTCGCGAGCGAAGCCACGACTGGTATGCTAGTAACTATATACATAGTGTTTATACCTTTTTTGTATTGAAACTGTATTTGTATAAAATAACCACCGATTGTGTTTTAGAATCAAGGATTCCGATTAAGAACCTTTGTGTGCTATAGTTAGCGTAAGTAACTGTTAACTAGAAACCAGTAACTGGTTATTTGTTTGATAATGATTGTTCTTAAAAAAAACTCTTGTATTGTAGATGGAGAAAATGCAGCATCGCTTCTGGGATTTTTTGATTCCTCATTCCTCTTTGCATATGCAGGAGCAATGTTCATTAGGTAAGCAAAAATTTAATTGTTAAAAAAATATATAATACTGAAACTATCCAAATGGATTATGCAGTGAAATGATTAAGGTGAATTAAGGTTAAAAATCATATTGTCCAAGATTTCATTGAAATTGTAAAATAAGACATCTTTGCCAACATACAAAAAGGGATTCTTATTAGGCCACTGGAACTATTTAAAAAATTCTATTTGACTAAATCTTGTATAGACCTACCATTTTTCTTCAGACTTTTTTCATCATATTTTTAAGTTTGAAAATTAATTTTTGAATGATTACGTTGTGACACTCAACGCAGGAAATGGAACTATCGGTAACTAGGTCAGCGGAAAAACTATTTGAATAGTGAGTCAAAAATGCCATTAATAGGTATTTTTTTTAGACAGAGGGCCAGGCTTACAAGTAACCATGGGATTGCATCATAGCTAGAACAGCTTATTGTGCACCCTCATTCACAGGTCCTCATTCTCCGTCAAATCCCAGGTCCTTTGTGAACCATGAGATGTTTTTGACCATGGTAAACTGTTCTTCCCTTTGATCTCCAGTCGATAGGGCAATGGATCTCATATGTAGACACCTTGTAGGGCTGGGCACATAAACATCACGTGGAAGGCTGACTCTTTCTCCTCTCCTTATTTCCTACATAACTTGAATCCCATCTTGAGTAGATGTCTGCGGAATAACCAATGGCCTCAGATGAAGCTAACCACCTACCGCAAGGTTCTCCTATTCAACCCAAGGGCATCTGCCGCTATTGTACCAGTAGGTGTCTGCAGTATTCTCTTTGACTGTACGTTGCCTTCTGTTCTTTCCCAGGGCTTTCATGGTCTGATGACAGTCCCATACAGCCTTAGAGGCAAAGTCAAAACTGTCAAGTGCCATTAGTGCTGCTTTGCTGTCCGAGTTCATGTATATAGTATGGCCTGTCAGACCACGCTTTAAACACACTTGCAAACTCGGATAGGGCAACAACTTCTGCCTGGAATACAATGGCCAGTTTCCCCAGGCTTACGCAAAACTGCGCCTTGGGTCTGACTCCATACATTCCAGCCCCGGTGCCCGTTGGCTTTGTCGAGCCATCTGTATACCAAGTGATCCCCCTTTTCATGTATTCAGGTTCTTCTTTATCCCAAGCAGCCCTGTCAACAGTGTTGACATTGTATGGCTTTTCTAGATCTGTGATCTTCACCATCCTGTCTACTAACATTTCCAAGGTGTTCACCTGCACCTTGTCCACAATTATTCTGTGCTCACTGGAGCACACCTCCAGTTGCCACTGCAAACCATTCTGTATGCTGCCATCCTTGCCTCTCCTTTCACAATAGAGGCTAGGTCTTTAATAGGTCTTTATATAATTTCTATATCAGGAATTTCGTTTTAGGTGTATTTTAAAACTTTGACTCAATCTAATGTATCAGGGGTTTTTCTGCATTGGTGTATTTGTCTTGAATTAGTTTTATGATTAAATAGCCATAGCCTACCTTTTGTTTGAAACCAAGACTAGTAAATTTTGAAAGATATATTTTTAACAGATTCAGGGAGCAAATTACATATAACTAGAGCTCGCCCCGTGGTGATGAACTTTGCTGATAATTGCTTTTAGTTAGAAATTTGTTTAATTTGTTGAAGGTAATGATTTACAAGCCAGTTACTCATTCATTCTGATTCACACTATCCCAACAAAACATTTTGACATTGGTACAACAATCCTTACACATTTGATGACTGCAGGTAAAGAAATACAAATAGTATACAAAACAATATTAAGAGGTATTTGTAAGGTACAAAACACATATAGCGAAGATTTCAAAAAATACTATAAAATGTTGGACTACATATACTTGATATGCTTGATTTGCTTTAATATCCCAAGACTCCCAAGGCTCTGCCCCAGAGGCCTTTAAAGTTCCCTCTTCAGATGTGTTTACATTACAACCATATGCATACATTTACACTACTTTTGAATGAAACAGCTGTTAATATTTAAACTGTGATTTACTAAATTTGTCAAAATTAAGTATTTGCAATGGGTTTTTTATGATTTTAAAATAGATTTTCTTCTGAATTGTGCCATGTTTTGCAATATAATGTTCTATTACCAAATCAGTGGAAAATCCTAATATCACAGTAACTCTTAAAATTATTTCTTATGGAGTTAACTTATATCTATTGTATGGGTTGGTTTCTGCCTTTTTTACCACTTCTTGGAGATTACACGTAGACGATATTCTTTGGCGTATTGCATCTGTATTAGACGATACTTGGTTGGTGTAATTTTTAAAATTACAATGGAAAAAAGTGAGAAATACTGCAAAATTTGATATATTAAAAATAAAACTGAATTAACACTGTGCTACATTTCTTGAGCAATAATTGAAAGAGTCGATTTGCAAACAAAGGAAACAGGAAAGTCATAGACCACAACCAAGTACAGTAGAAGAAATAGAAATAATGTTTGTTTTTTCTTTCATTTATAATCGTTATTATAGACAACCTAATGCGGCTATGAGTGGGGAAAATTTGTAGAAAACACTAAAAAACAGGGTCAGCTTTTCAAAAAAGATAAGATATTAACAAAAAATTTTGATTATATCTAACTGCTGTGTACATCTTGAGTATTTCCATAATCTTTGAGTCGACTCTTATAAAGTCACCAGAAATTATGACTGTTATTCGTTTCAAAAAAACGCCTGTAATGCTTCACAATTGCTCGAATTCGAGCAACAGGTACACTAGTCTATAATTAAAATAATTTCACTGTCATTCCTGTTTTTATTATTCTTATACATATTATTCTAATCTTTTTGGCATATTATGACAGATGCGGAACATATAAATTAATGTTAACTAGAGCTGGCTCGTGGTCGAAAACTCAACCAAAATTATGTTTTGTGCTTCTCTATTTTCACCCCAGGCTGTAAATGAAACATGTCACTGGAATTTCTGCTAATTGTTTTGATTTTCTGTTTTTATTTTGTTGTTATTTTGTCACCAACATGGCAACCCATAAAGCCCATGTTAATTTTTTTTAAATTTTAAATTCATTTCTGTGCTCTTTTTCGAGCCTATTTTAATTTATAAAGGGATTTTGCACATCTACCTAGGCAAATATCTTTCTAACAGTATGCGTCGATTTTCCCTTCAATGCACAGAAGCTGAGATTAAAGGTTTTCAATAAACATGCTTGTCTATTAATATATAGAACTAGCAGTTACCCGGCGCGCGTTGCTGCGCTAACAAAATACATCTGTCTGTGTGAAAAGCATGTTTTTTTCTACATCTAAACAGACGATTGTCAGGGATTGCCCTAGTGCCTTATAATGGTGATTGCAAAAGCAAGACACTAAGGAAATTGTAGTTGATTAAATTTAGAGGGTAATTCGGATGATATCATCAGCATTCTTGGGATTAAGACTATTTATCCCTTAAACCTACCACTAATAATTTTTGCTTTAATCAATTTTGATGTCCGTTAGTCTGGTAACGTTGCACTGCTTCGGTGGATTTAAGTTTCGCATTAGTTTTATTGGAGTTCCTTCTTTTAATGGCAGTAATGTGGTGGGTTAATTAAAAATTGAGAGGCATTTGAATATCCGTGATAGCACGCACGATTATTATTCACTTATATTGTTATATTGTGTGGGTAGGCCTATAGAACGAAAGATAAAAATTGTAAGGCATTGTCATCCCTTTTATTGTTTATAATACTTTGATAAAGGTTTTTATGTTTTTAATATTTAACATTGGAGATTTTAAACGTTGTTGAATGCACAGGTGTGCTGCGATCGGGGTTTAATACATTTGGACATATTCAAAAGTAAAATAGTTTCCTGTGCTGCACTCTGTAGAAACACTGTGGCACTATTTCAATTAATACAGAATGTTGTGATCATTCAAACCTACAAAACAGTTGGTGAAAGTAAACATCTGCTTTTAAATTATATTTATTTGTAAACATTGTAGATCAAAAAGTCTGACATTGGCCCACTTAAACCCTCTGGGGCAGAGCCCTTTTGACGGATCTGCACCAAACTTCACTCAAACCATTCTTGAAAGATGCTAAATAATGCCTGAAAGTTTCATTACAATCTGTCGAGCGGTTTCGGAGTCCATGACGTATATACACACACACATACATACATACATAGTTCCTCTTTTAGCGAATTTCCCATATAGGGAATAAGCTATTACCGTAGTACTCATGGTAAGACCTGGACGCGGGACCGATTTTTTTTTTTCATTTTGAGGTCCCTAGAGGCCAAAAACACCATCCGTTCAAATTCATATATATATATATATTTATATATTTATATATTTATATATATATATATATATATATATATGTGTCCGTTAGCACGATAACTCGAGCAAAAATGATCCGATTTTGATGAAATTTGGTACAAACGTGTAAACCTATGTTTATTCGAACGAGTTCGCGATCCAGCATGATTGGACCATGGGAACGGGGGTTTACGGGGGGTTTTATGGGGTAAAAATAGGTTTTTCCCATTTTTGACCCAAAAAACATAAAATTTAGCAATTTCTTTCCAAACCATTTTGTAGAGCTTAAAAAAACAAATAATTTAGTATATTGAAGCGTTATTATGCGCCTAATGGTTACGGAGAAAATTCCAAAAAATTTTAAATTTAAAATTCCCATGTTATTCTTATGGAGAATAAGTAAATTGTTGTAGTTTGCTTGTTTATGAACATATTTTGATCAAATTTGGAAAATGTTTTTATTTCTTACTAACTATTAACGTTTTACAAAAAAAAAAAAAAAAACAGTTTCACCCTCCCTGATGCAGCAAACCTAATTACTAGTTAAACTAATTCTATTTAAATAGAGAATAAATGTTATATTTTTAAGTAGACATTTCAGTGTAAATCCAATCAGTCAAATGGAAATTCGCTTAGTCTGCAGGTTTGCTGCGGCGGGGGTATTATAGATATAGATTAGCCCCATGTTAATTCTCCATAAGAAAAGTTGAAT